GGATGAAGCACTGTGAGACAGCACAAAAGGAATGGCTACCTCCAGGGCTTCAATGACCACTGAGACCCCAAGCTGCCCAGAGGGGTCCTGATCTCTCTCTGTGTCTAACAGGGCTGCTAGGAGCGTACGTCCCCTACCCCAGCCCACAGGACCATGCAGCCTGCCTGCCACTCCCCCACTCTTCTGGCAGCCCAGCCCCTCACTCAGGTGACTGCATTAAGCAACCTCTGTTATCACAAATGCCTGGCATTTTTCCCTGATAATTACAGCTCCCACAGCCCCAGGAGGATTGGTGCAGGATTAGGGAGTAGGGAATACTGGTGGGTGGAGAGAAATACCTGCAAAAAGACTTGGCAGCCTGATTGCCTCCCGCAATATTTAGGATCCCCTAAGTGCACAATAGCCATGTAAGGAGCCTCCTGAGTGACTGCAGTGGCAAAGGCTGTCAGCCATCTTTCTTTTGCATCCCTCCTCACCTGTCCCCTGAACTGTCCTCCAGGGCAGACACAGTAGCCCCTTGATGGGCCCCCTGTCTCTCTCCTGCACCCCTTCCCCTGCAAGGAGAGACGTCTAGAGCAGAGCTCTGAGCAGTTCTCCCTCAGGGTAAATGACTCTCCCCGGCCCATCACCTATGGCCTTCACCTGCTCTCTGCCTCCACTCTGGGTTCTCCTGGCCTCCCATTCTCTGCTCACCCAGGATGGGTCATACAGACATCTAGCACTTAGATGTTCTCTCCAAGCTCATGATCCTGCTCAGATGTCCTGCAATGCCAGGATTAAATGCTACCTTCTCCAAGAATCTTCTTCTATTCCTGTTGGAAAGAATGACAGTGAACAAGAGTGATGTGCCTCTCCCTACTCTATGCTTAACTCCCTGCATCCCCACTGTAGCCATGGGAGGTTGTGTTTCTTCGGAGGAGCCAGTTGAGACCCAGAGAGCTTAAAGCAAGTGCCCAAGGAAACACATGTGGGAAGCAGTGGGTCAGGCTCATCTCAGGCCCTCTGATCCCTGTAGCTTCTTCTTTGTGTGCACATAAAGTGTGCCTCTTGCCCGTTCCTCTGGGCTTTGCAAAAATCAGGGTAGAGCTATTCAAATTTGAACTCTGACTCAACTGATTTTGTTCAAATGCTGATTGTGATTCAGTAGGCTTGGGCTGGAGCCCGAGATTCAGCCTTTCTGCAGAGCTCAGGGATGGTGCTTACGATGTTGCTATGTTGCTAAGGACCGCACTGAGTAGTGAAGCTGGCGCCCAGAGCAGGGTAGAAAGGTCCTGTGTTGCCATCACACCCTCAGCAGAGCTGGGCCCTTGGCAGGTGGGTCCCTTCACTCATAACCCTCACAGGGGATCGGGCCCTGCTGCCTCCTTTCCAGGGCTAGGCCCTGGAGGGTGGCTCCCGACCCTGATCCTGTTTCCCCCTGGGCTTCAGACATGGTGACCCTGTGGAGCCCTCAGGTGGAGTCTGAATGCACCCCTGTCTTAGGACACCCCCAAAGCTCTGGCCCAACTCTGTCCCCAAGGAATGCTTGCAGTCTTTTTGGAAACTACTGGAGTTACCAGTACTGCCATTGTGGGAAATTCACAGAGGGCAGTCAAATGGCCCGTCACTGCCCTCCTGGCCAGAAGCAGAGGTGGAGAAGGCAGGTGAACAGCCTGCAGCTAGAGAGGATGCCTTTGGAGAGAAGCAACACATGCTTGGCCCCTCCCTCAACCACTGGGACAGGAGCAGCTCGATCTCCTCCCCTAAAGACAAGGGAGGTGCCAAGAAAACAGCTTAAAAGCTCACCATGTGCCCCTACAATGTGCAACAAGCTCACAGGAAGGGTGGCTGACTCCGCGTGAGAAAGGGTGCAGTGAGAAGCTGTTTCCAAGGGGGTCTGAGCACACAGGGCGAGTGGAAAGGTCCCACCTCCACCTCAGGGTACAGAGGTCAAAGGTGTGGTACTTTGCATGGTTCACTTGCGTGGTCTACCAAGGAGGTAGAGGGGAACTTGGCTCCAGCAGAGGGTCAGGGAGCTGCCATAAGCAGCCAATGGGCAGAGGATGATCCCCTGACCCAAGAGAGATCCCTAGCATGGAAAGTTCCCATAGCAAAGGACAACCAGCCTTGCATGTGCCTGGCAGAGGGTGCAGAGCAGCGCTTGTACAGCTGCACCACACAGGTAAGATCTTCGTGCCCCACTTCTACTTGGAGAAATCTCAGATGAAAAAGGGAAACCAAGCCGGCCAGGACTCCCTCTCTCACATGGCCGCCACAGTGGGGTGGAGAACTTTACACAGATGTAAGCTTGGTGTTAAGTGGCCAATAGACCAGTCTCCTACTGCTCATAATACCAGGTGAACATCAATGGATTCGGCTTGCCATTCGGCTTCCCAGAGACTGAGACACAGTGGAGAGAAAGAAGGAACTCAATGGGAAGTAAGGAGTCAGAATAAAGCAAATTTCTCCAGAATAAAGCTGACAGCCTGAGGTGATCTGCTTGCTTTATAAATGGCCTGTACATGTGGGGGCACAGAGGTGGTGTGGCTGGACCCAGGCCTGGCCCTTGAGGAGCCAATGAACTCTAAGACACAGCTCTTAGGCTTTTTGGAGGGAAGCTATTGCAAATTCAAAGCCATAAGGGAGGCTATGGATCTTTAACACAAAAGATTTTTCGACAATGTACACAGGGAGAGAATGCCCAGGAGTGCGTGAGCAGGTGTGGCCTATATTCCCTTTCTGTAGGCTTGGTCGGACTAGGGTTGGTTCAGTCTAACATGGGGGTCTGTGAAATGGGTTGCTGTACTGTGCTTCCCCTCCTCCCAGGGCATCACACTCTGCACATACTTGCCTCTCAGCTCTGAGAGAAGTAAGCACTTTGACTTCCTTGGAGTTGGTCTCTTCAAGCAATGCTGGGAGTAGTTTGTTTTCTCTAGCCCTGCCGAAGAGCCCCTGGCCAGAAGGTTAAGTGAGCTTCATTGAAAAGACACACTTTTCCTCCCCAGGCTGATAAACAAGGCCTGTGCAGGGAAACCAACTTCCTCCCTGGGGCACTCAGCTGGAGGGGCCCATCCCTGGCCAAGGAAAACAAATGCATAAACATTTCAGAGATATATAGGAAGCATTTCTGCTGGAAGCCTGCTGTGAATGGCCGCTGAAGTTTACACAGCAAACCCCACTGGGACCTCGGCACAGTCTGGATAAAGCAGTCCTCATCCTTCTGTTTCCCTGCTGGCAGGGCTGGCTCCTCCTTGCCTCTCCCTGAAGAGTGGCAGTCAGTCCACTGGTTGTGCCCAACCACAAGAACTCAAGACAAGCTGTGTGGCTGTCATTACTGAACGCCAGCCTCACCCCTACATGCTTGGCTCCCAGAAAGAAGGGAGCCAGTCCTGCAGCGGGACACAGCCTGTTACGGCATAAATATAGAATACTGCCCAAGGACTCATGTACTGGGGGCACTACCTCCAGTGCAGCAATGTTCAGAGCTGGGGCCAGTTGGAGGAAGCAGGTCATGGGGGACATGCCTTTGAAGGGCATATCTTGTCCCCAGCCCCTTCCTCTCTGGCCTTTCCCCTATTTCTCTGCTTCTGGCTGCCAAGAGGCAAGCAGCTTTGCTTCACCATGCCCTCCTGCCATGATGTTCTGCCTCACTACAGATTCAGGGACAACAGGTTGGACAGAAACCTGTGAAATTGTTAGCTCAAAATTAATCTTCCTGCCTTTAATTTTTTTTTCCTAATGTATTTGTCACAGCTATGCAACACTGACTATAAACACTCCTAGCATGACTTGCATCCTAAGCCCTTGGTGCATATGGAGGCTCGAGCATGTGCTGCTGTCCAGCCTTCCTAACTCTCCTAGTCCTCCCCCTGGGCTGTGGCAGGCACAGTAGGAATGCAGCCCTAGCCCCCGTGTGCGGACACCCCTCTGCAGGACCCCCAAGTCACAGCCAAGAAGCTTACTGGGAAGTGTCGGCCACGGGGACAGTGACTCCTGCGGCTTTGCCATTATCTTCTTCTTCTTAGCTTCTCACATGGACACCCACATGACAAGAACTCCTAGGGATGAGTGCTCTGCTTCCAGGTCCCTCTGCCCACCCTGTCCATGGAACCAGTGCAGAGCAGCCCAGGACTCTGGTGTTTTGTCTTATTTTGCTTTGTTTCGTTTTTGTTGTACTGGGAATTGAATCCAGGGGCACTCTGCCATTGAGCTATATATTCCCTGCCCTTTTTATTTTCAGAAAGGGTCTTGCTAAGTTTCTCAGGCTGGCCTTAAACTTGCAATCCTCCTTCCTCAGCCTCCTGAGTAGCTGGGACTACAAGCGTGGACTCTGGCTTTTACAAAAAGACACAATTACTTTTTCCCTTTCTCTCTCCTCGCCTTCCCTATCGCTCTTCACCTACTTCTTTGCCAGCTTCCAATTGCATTACTGCATTTTCTCCTATTCCCTTATGAAACCCATAGTATAAATGAACAGAATAAATGAGGCTCAGGCTGTTATCATAATGTTTTTCCCATTCCATCCTCCTCTGCCTTCACTCTGGGACATGAAGGTTTCCAAAGATCTGCCCACCCACATTTTCAGACAGTTCTCTCCCCATATGCCCCCTACCACCCACAGAGGGGGACCAACCCAGTTCTTCTGCTTATCCCTGTCCTATTAGCCCCTCTGACCAAGACAGCCCTCCTGGAGGACTCTTCCTCTCATCATTTAGCCAAGCTCACTCCATCTTCATGGGGCCCCCTGAGCAATCCAGTGCTCTGAGAGGCTACCTGGGGCCAGAGGAACCCAGATGCATAGCTTACGAGGTAGCCTGGTGTTGTAGGCCTCTGCTGGTCAAGTGGAAGACAGAAGAGGCCAGGGAACCAGGGACAGAGGTCACTGCCTGTCTGCAGAGCCCCTAGCTAGGAGCTATCCTTGCCTGCAGCTGTCCTGGCTCTGAGGCCCTCCACCACCCCCACCTCACCCCAGAGCAGGCTGCATGCTCCTTTTGGACCAGTAGAACAAAGAAGTCTCCATCTTCAGTGTGGTTTGACTCTTGCTTTACAGAAAACTACCAGAAATAACCAGTGCTCTGGGTCTCCAGGGCCAACCATTTCAGAGACCTTGCCAAGGGTAGGGAATAAAGGAAGGATGCAAACAAAAGGCAGCAGAGTTGGTGGTGGCTTCTTTCCCATCCTTGGCAGTCAGGGTCCGCAGGGAGGCCCCTGTTTCAGCCTTGGTGAACCTGCATAGGAGGAGCAGGAAGGCTCTGCTCAGTTGTAGCAGTGCTGGCTCAGGTGGGGGTGAACTCTTCCTGGAGACTTCCCCCGAGGCCTGGGGCTCAGGGGTCACCCCAGGGATGAGCATGGAGCCATAACCTTAGCTGCATCCAGGGTCACAGGATGGGGTCTGAGCCATTCCAATTCACCGAAGCCCCCTTCCACCTAAGGGCAGAGCAACAGGAGAGTTAGAGCTGTGGGGGCCCACGCGGAAACACTGTCTTCCCCGTGCTCACCAGAAGTCTCATCTCAGACGACTGAGGATTTCCAATTCCATCCTACCCACTCACCCCTCCACATGGACATACAACCCACACACCACCTGCAACAGATACACCAGAACCTTTGATAGCAATGGAGGAGGCAGAGGGGGCAGGTGGTTTATCCATCTGTGCCACGGCTGACCCCGTGCCAGGCCCTCTGTTCGTGTGTGAGTGACCCAGGCATATTTTGGCCCAGCTGCTTTCCAGAGGTGTCTGGTTGTGACCCTTTAGTGATGCCTGTGCAGGACTAAGAAAGTAGATACCCTGAGGTGTCCAAAGTGTGGGAAAAGGACAGTGGCTGAAAAACAATGAAAGATGTGAAGAGATGTACAGGCAGTGCTGGCAAGCAGACATCACAAGGATTCTGGGTTTTTCTCTAAGACCCATGGGGGCCAGTGAAGGGTATGCCAGAGTTTCTAAAAACTGCTTTATACAGCCATAAGAAGCACTGAGTGGAATTAAATTCCAGGGTAAGATACAACTTAACAGTAGCTCCGTTCCAACATAAAAGTTACTATAGATAAGACCATGAAACTTCTTAGCACTTGATTTTAATACATGGTGCTGATTTTGTAAAATGGGAATTGGCAGCAGATGGAGAATTTATGGAAATATTGCAATAGGTATACTCTCTATATCTGTGTTTACTAAGACTGAACTAGAACATGGATGTGGCACATCTTTGTAGCAATGTAGAGTTGGAGACAGATTTATAAATGGTTTCCAAACCTAAGGCTTGGGGAGGGAGCCTACAATCCACTTTGAAAACCTTAAGTTTTTCTTCAGAACTGAAGTCAAAATTCTAACTGCCATGTAGTAATACAAAAGGAAAGCTACCCTGCCTTTAATCGTCTGCCAGCCTGGGAAAGTCTAGTGTCCCTAAATACTGTAATAAAGGATCAAACAGGTTGTCCTGAAGTAACACTGCTGCATCTCTCAGTGGAAGGCCCAGGAACGCCAAGTGGTTCCAGTACAGCTGGTCCCCCTCATCTGTGGGTTCTGTACCCACAGATTCAACCAATCATGGATCGGAACTACAAAACAATGCATCTGTACTGAGCATGTGCATAATTTTTTCTTGTCACTATTCCCTAAACAATACCACACCTATTTATGTAACATTTTATTAGGTATTTTAAGTCACCTAGAGATGATTTAAAGCAGTGATGGCAAACCTTGTAGAGTTGTCAATGACACAAACAGCCCACTGGGGCATGTGTGCTATAGTTTACCAATCATCAATTTAAAGTATAAAGAGGACTAGGTAGGTTATATGCAAATACTATGCTACAGTATTTTATAGAAGGGAGTGGAGCATCCTCAGGATGTGGTATCCTTGGTGATCCTGGAACCAACCCTCTCCAGGTACCAAGGGACAACTGCAGCATATCATCCTAAACCCAACACTCTCCATCTTTGTTACATGAGCATCTCCCACTGATTTTTCTCCTCTTTCCTTTCTCAGGTGTCCGCTCTCTTTCTTCAGCCCTGTGCACTGCTTTGATGGTCTCATCTCTCATTTGAGGGCTGGAAGCAACACCCTTCCAGAAGCAGCAGGATTCGTGCTCAGTCTGATCTTTCAACTAGCTTTCCTGTTGGTTACAGCCAAATTCCTGGTAGCTGTAAAGACTATATCTTCCCTTGTTGCATATTTTCTATACTTCACACTATTTCATGTCCCTTCAAAGAAGCAAGGTGATTTCTTGATATTTGGAGACAAAATTTTAATGTCAATGCTGTGCATCTTGCTCCCATAGAAATGTTCGGTGCAGAAGATGGTGTTTGCATACAGCGCATTTGGGAACAATTAATATCACATTCTCCTCCTCACTCCATCCAGGGCACTGTGAGGACACATCTCCCACAGCCAGGGGGGAATGTATGAATGTCAGGTTCATCACAGTCTTGACAGAAGACACGGCTCTGCCTGCTGCTGTGCACCCCAATCAACAGCTGGAGACTGTTATCTATACACGAGTGCTGACTTGTATCCTCTTGTTAAAATGCTCTGCACCAAGGCTGAAATGGGTAGATGCTGGAAAACTTGCTGAGCCATGATTGTTTTTAGGGGACTCTTTTTAAAATTATCTTTGTGTTCCTTTCAGTGTTATGTGTTGATAGTCAGTAATATTCAGAGATCTTACCCAGGTGGGGTTGTGTGGCCCTTGAGCAATCAGTCTTTCCTTCCGGCATGCAAGGCTGGGAATACTACTTCCCTACCTGACCCCTGGTTCCTTAGATCTTTCAGGGCACAAGTGCTCAGAGACAGATCTGGATATTCAAAAGTATCTGCATATATTTTTAAAAAGAAATCTTTTCCCAGCCTAATGTGTGGCAAGAGATGCATGATAACACTCATCGGCAAGCACTGCCTGTCTTCACTGTCAAATGTCATCGTGTGTGTTGGAAAGAGCAGCATCACTCATTCCATTGGACATGAAATAATTAAGCGATTCTGTGGGCTCCGGGTGCTTTAACCAGACAATTAGACTCTTTCTCAAGCTTCTGCGTGTCAGGCTGATCAGATGTTTTGGGGTTGAGCCACTTTGATGGAATGTATCCGCATCACACACTCATCTTCACTGCTTGATTAAGAGACACTGAGACTCTGTTTGGAGACAACTTGACATGCCATGGAGAAGTTAGTCTGCTCCTAGTTGATGACTGTTGGTACTATTTGAAATTGGAGTCTGATGCTGTCCCAGGGGAGCTAATATAGGTCTGACCAGCAGAAAAAATGTTCACTACTCTGACTTACACAACTGAGGAGAGACTGGAAGTAAGACAATCTGGGAAGGCAACCTGCTGATCCCTGGTTCCTTGGGGCTGGTCCGGTCAATGCAGTGACCAGGTAAATAGTATATGAGCCATCTACAGCAATGTAATGCAGTGTTTAATGGGGCCTGCCATGCTGTTTCACATTTTCAATTTTTTTCTCCCTTTGTTGTCTTTGCAGTTTTGAAATATATAATTTAAAAAGCTTTTCTTGTTGTATTAAGATTTTGGGTAAGCCCCAAAGTCTTGGGTGTTATGAACACTCTTGACTTCAGGTCCCCAAGGGGCAGCAGAAGGGAGAGCAACATTCTTGCCCTCAGCCTGGTCTCCAGGTCCTTACCACCTAGTCTTTACCTTCCCCATTCTCACAGGCAAGCCCACGTTCCTCCCATGATCCCCGATTTACAAACTTCCCAGATCTTGGCAGAAATGGAGTTTGGCTTCAGTGCAGGAGTGAGTCACACCCACCAGCTGCTAGACAACATCCATATCAGTACCAATCTCTAAGCCTCCCTGTCATGCTATCTGATTTGTGCTAGATTCTGAGGCTATTTACAGTGGTAACTTACTGGCCCATCCCAGCAAACAGGTGCAAAAAGGGAGATGCACCAGAGGGAGGCAATTTGTAATGATGGTAGAAAATCAGAGACAGTTTTAAAAATGAAAGGGCTGAGATAGAACGGGTGTTGTTCTGAATGTCTGAGTCAATTATGAGGATGAGTGAAAAGAGCTCTGTGTATGCAACCAACAGCAATTAGTGATGGTGGCGATGAGAGCAAGGAAATGGAAAGGCTTCTGAGGGCGCAGTGGGAGAGGCAGCATCAAAGCCCTGGGCTCACTCCCCAGCACTAACTCAGGAACAGCCAGCAGCCTGACAGCTTAGGCACCTTTGGCATTTGGGACTGGCTAAGTCTTCGTTGTGGGGGGGGTGTCTTTTGCACTGCAGGAGGTTTAGCACCCTCTTCCTGGTGCTGACAACTAAAAATGTCTCTGCCAAATATCCCCGGGAGTGTAAAATCATCCCACTGGCTTAGAGGTTGAGCTGGCTGAAAATATCTGGTCCTTGGAGCCCAAAGTCAACCCTGACGTCATGGAGAGACCCACATCATGGCCTCAAACAGAGCCTGCTCCTCACCCGGGGCGATCACTGCAACTGCTGGATCACTCCCTACTTCAACAGATTTGCAAGGCTGAGGAACCTGCTTTATTTCATGGTGGAAAGGCGTCCCCTACCTGTGGTCTTAGCTTTGCTGTGCTCTCCATCCTCCTGCCCTGCCCACCCTCCTTCAGAATCAGATCTGGGGTTCCTCCTGGCAGAAGTGGTGTCCGGCTGCCAGGCTGTCTGAGGGCCCCTTAACACCTGGGCCAGGCTCCGAGCAGAGCTGGTGTCCCCTGTCATTTGGGGACTGTGGCATGAGGATGCCCCTCGATAATAGCTGCTCCCCTGGACACCTGCTCTGGAGCCCACTGCCCTCTCACGCACCCATCAGGGAAGCCTCGTTCTCCAGTCACACTTCACTCTCCTTCCCTTTGAACAAGTGGTTATGAACCCCTGCCCGTGGCCATGGTCACTGTCTCTTGACCCCAACTCTCCACTCCCCTCTGGACCCTTACCCTATTTGCCATCACCCGAGTCTTCCACTGTCCCCTATACCACACTCCTTGTGTTCCCCAAAGGAGAGGGACTGCTTTCTGCAGCTCTTTTTTTGATCTTACAATAGCTCAGGGAAAGGATGGTGATACTCAGGTGATGTATGGGGAAAACTAGGCCAGGAGCAGAATCCACACATGACAACCACAGAGCGAAGTCAGGGATGTGGATCGGTAGCAGATCACCAGGTGGGCATGCTTGGTGTGGGCAGGGAGGTGGTGGAGACATCATGGATGAGAGGCATCATGATCAAGGAGCCCCGGCAAGGGTGCCAGCAGGAAATGTGGGAGAGGGGGTTCCTGAGGGAGGGGATACCATTGAGAGAGGTGGGCACTCTGTCCCAGGCCCCCGAAGGCACTCATCCCAGCTGGAATTGCATTTTTAATTTTTGGTCTGGGACTCCGAACAGAAACATGTGGGCCCAGCTCCAGGCCTGGTTCTGAGCTCTTTCCTCTTCTCTCTGGATGGCTGACAAGTCTTTCATTTTCTCACTCCAGCTAGGCTGGAAGCATGGGAGGGGTCACTGTGTGTGTCCTGTGTGGAAATGACCCAAGATGGGTCTGCTTTGGCTGACATGGTTAGAGAACTCGACAGGGGAGGGAAGGGGAGCAGACCCCGAAGCCCTGACACAGAAACAGTAACAAAAGACTCTCTGAGGCCGAGATGTTCATCACCCCAAAAAGTAAGGACAACACAGGAACCTGGGGATGGTTCCAATTAGGATGCTCTTCTCTGAAGGCAAAACTCAGTCTGGGCTTGTGCAATGTCTCTATGGCAACAGAGCCAGGTGTCAGGAAGTCACGCTGTCTTCTCAGTGACCTTCCTCTGGGCTGGGACAGTGAGGGCCTAAGCTGCTCATGACTGGAGGTATTGCTGGGGAAGAGCTCCATTCTGGAGACACCCCCACGCCTCTCTGTAAAAGAAGGGGCCACACCAAGTGGTGTTCCTGCACCTTTCTGTGGACTCAGGCAAGGTGCCAGCTGGCCAGATGTGTGGTGTGGCCTCTGCTGGGTCAGTGTGAGCCAGGGCTTCTTGCAGGGCAGCAGAGCTAGGCCAAGGGTAGGTGGTGTATCTTCCCCTGGATTAGAACAGGGTTGATTCTGAACTTGGTTTCTATTTGATCGTAAAGTCTCTGAGAATGGGAACTAGTTCTTATCTAGTTGTTGCTTCCATAAAGTTCAGCTCAGGATTTCATGAGAATAGACGTGGTGGGAGGGAAAACCCATCTGTCCACCAGGTAGCAATCCAGCCACCCAGACCATCTAGCAAGATGGACAGGACAGCATGAGCATTTAGCCGAATCTCACCCAGTGCCTGGAATCAAACTCTGCCTGGGGAATGACCTGAGCGTAGCCATGCACCAGGCAGCATGACTCACCCTGGCCCCTAGCCACAGCACCCAGACACAAGACCATTCCAGCAGGTCCTCCCCGTGACCTCGAAGGCCCCTTTCCCAAGTCACTCCTTTGAGCTGTTTGAGAATCTGGGATGAAGACAAAGATGCAAAGCCTTTGTAATCCAATCCCTTGGAGTAGGATTCCAGGGGGCTATGCCTGCTGTTTCCCATTACAGGGCTATGTTATCTGATGAGGAGAGGGGAACGGACACAGCAAGCCCACACTTCCTTCATCCACTCAGCTTTTCTGGGAATAACACTGGGAAAGTCCTACCACGTTAGCTGGCCAGGCAGCCCCACTGTGGGGGTGGGGGAATGGGCCAGTAGAATGGGCAAAAGACTGGGCTTTGGAGGAAAGCCCCTAGCCCAGCGTGTCAAGCAGGGTGGACACTGGAAGGTCACAGCCTCACTTGATAACTGACTCCCACAAGGTAGACATGGTGGGAATGAGAAGGAGGAGGCCTGACCCTCTGCAGTCATCAGATCAGCTCCTCCAAGTGTGGCCCTAGGATCAGCAGCACCAACAGCTCTAAGGACTTCTTATTAAGATAAAACCAGGCCCTGCCCTGGATGCCTTGCAGCAGGAGCCCTGGGTGGCCAAAGACCTGTGTTCTGACACATTCTCCAGAGCATCTGGATATCCCTGAAGCTTGAAGACCCTTGCACTGGAGCAAGCCATAAACAGGCATGGGCTCTCCCAGCTCTCTCCTGCTCTCTCGGGGAGCTGGCCAGGGTCTGGGGCATAGTTCCCAGGCCTGCTGTCCCAAAGCCCATGTGCTCCCCACAAGCCCTGTGAGACACTGCTGGGGATGCCAGGGTTCAGCCCAGGGCAGGGCAGGCCCCAGCCTAGACATCTGTCCCCAGACCCTCGGCTCACTCCCTGAGGCAAGCCGCCTCTCCAGCTTCCCCCATCACCTGTCATCTGCCACATGGAGTGGGGAGGGAGGCCCTGTGAGACAGTGGCAGCTGACAGAAGAGCCCCGAGTGCACCCTCCAGGAGTCTGGTCTGAGCTCCCTGTCATGCTGGTTCTGGGTAGCGGGCTGCCTCCTAGATAGGCCAGAGCCCAAAGTCAAACACCTGCCAACTGGGCCTGTACTTCGGAAGTCCAACTGGGCCCCATGCTGGGAGGAACTTTGAGTCCTGAGATAGAATGATTTTCTGGGGAAAACCTCGTTCCCTACCCACAGTGAACAGTGGGGGAGTCAGGGGTAGCCCTGGGAGGGCCCCAGAGGCACAGAGCCAGATGAAGGCCCTAGCGAAGGCCCCAGGGCCCAGAGGAGGCTGAGCCTGTACCCAGGGTGTGGTCCGAGCCCTGTAGGGCCCTGCAGGAAGGATGCTGCGTTGCCTCTGTGCTGTGCTACACCAGGTGCCACGGCTGGTGTCACCTCCCTTCCCTACTGCGGCCCTTCTCTCATCACCTGGAATGAGTGGCCCTTTGTACATGAAAGTCAGCGGCCTGCATGTGCCCTTAATCCCCTGATGAAAACAGTCCCAACACATGACCCTGCAGGAACGCTGCGTCCCTGCGGGGGAGGGCAGTGAACAGACAGGAACAGGGATGGGGGGTGCAGTGAGGCTGTCTGGACTCCCTCCCACTCCCCTGCCTCAGTGGTCTTTCTCAGCCCATTCCAGGGCTCGCCCGCCTGCAGGTGGGCAGTGGACCTGGGCCCAGCTATGCCTTCTGGATCTCAGGGAGTTGGAACTGGGCCTGGGCGGGCATCCACAGCCCCACCTGGCCCCAGTCCCTTCACAGGCAGGAAAATGGAGATTCCGCCTCAGGCCAACCCAATCCCGAGTAGCTGAGTGGCTCACGATGAGAGCTAAGGTAGCAGAGTGGGTGGTCAGGTCCCAGCATTCCTCAAGATCCCTGGGAGCTAGGAACTGCCACTGCCCCATTTTGCAAATGACAAAGGGAGGTACGAGTAGATGAAGTCCAATGGCTCACAGCAGAGCCGGGGTTCGGCCTGAGCAGCACCCAGGCTCATAGTTGTTGCAACTTTGACTGCTGCCCTGGAGGAAGGGAAGAGAATCCCAGTTTCTTGCCTCCCCAGGCCGTCCTCTTCTACCACCGGCAATGCTGTGGCCTTCAGGGGGTCACCAGCCAGGCTTGGAGCTGCGTTCCTGACAGTGACACCCTCCCAGCCCTGCGGAGTGTGGCCCTAGCCTGGGGCCCAATGGGGAACTCTGAGGGAAGTGGGCTCTGGCTCCCCCAGGGAGGCTGGTGGGCTTCCCCTCTCCCCACCAGCTTCTGAGGGCTACACCTCTGCTGAGTGTTCAGGGTGGCCAAGGCATCCCCTCTGCCTCTACTCCACACAGAGGGTGCTGTTGCTCCCACCATGACCTCCCGCTTCATCTTGGCTTGGCCAGCCTTCCTGCCTTCCAGTGCTGCTGCAGCTTCCAGTTCCCACCAAGCCAGCAGTGTCCCTCCTTTCAGCCCAACAGCACTCAACACACAGGTTGCTGGACAGGGCACAGCACACCCTGCGGTGGGGACATCCCAGAGCTGTGAGGCACACACCACATGGGCCACAGTGAAGATGGGGAAACTGCCTTCTGCAGGAGCCCCAGGTGCAGTATCGCCTCATCACAACCCTTGGGATGGAGGCTCCAGGACCCCATCCTCTTCCTGCAGGCCAATACCCCCCTGCCCCACATCCCGGCCATTCAGGGTGAGATTCTCAAGCCAGAGCTGGCCCGACTCACTTGGTCCTGATGCAGAGTTCCAGAGGAGGGATGAGGTCCTTGCCACTGTCCTCAGGGATGGTCCGGGTGGTGTCTGGGAAAGAGAGCAGCACACGTGTCATCCCGGGGCTCTGCACTCACCTGGGGTCAGCACAGTGCCCACAAGTCCTGCCCCCCCCACCCCAGAACCTGTCCCTCATTTCCATCTCAACTGGACCCACCCCCACTCCCAGCCACAGAGTCTCACTCGGATAATTCACTGTCTCTCATCTTCAGCCTCTGTCCCACTCCTGTGCCCTGCTTCTGCTACCACCATACTCTTTCTAAAAACACATCTGACCTCAGCACTCCGCTGCTCCAAAACCTTTCATGGCTCCCTATTACCTGAAGAATAAATCTAAACATGTCAGCCCAAGTTTTCAGGGCTCTTGCCATGTGTTAATTTCACTTTACACCCTTGAGACCGATAGGAGCTCTGGGGTCATTCTAGGACCCCTCCTCCAGGATGCCCTGCAAACATTGCTCTCTGACCACCGGGTCCTGATATTGGAGTCTATGTTGTCCTCTGGCTTGCTGAGAGGGCAGATGAAGGCTGGGGTCTGGGGGCCTGGAGACTCCCTGAGGATTGAGCTGGGGGTGGCGCACCAACAGTCAGCCGGATCTCCTCCTGCTGGTTGGCCAGGCCGTCATAGTAGTACAGGTCAAAGAGCCGCTCAGCCCTCCAATCGGAGAGGAGCTCAGGCTTCGGGCTGAAGAGGACGCTGAAGTGGCTCTCGCTGCACACCACCCAGATGGGGAACTTTGGGGTCTTCAGGAAGCAGCCGACCTGGAGGATGGAAGGGCCTGATGAACCTGCTGTCCAGAGGCAAGAGCTGCCCTGCCCACCCGGGGCTCCCAGCTCCCTTCCTGCACATACCTGGATCCCAGGCATCACCTCGGCTTCCCCTACTCACCCAATTGTTCCTAGAGAGACCCATGCCACGTCCACAATCCCCTCACCCTGGCCCCTCTCCTCAGGTCTGCTATGCTTCTCACCTGGACCAGGGCAAGACTTCTCATGGGGTTCTTGTGTGCCCACCCTAACCCGCTTATCTAGGCCTTTGCATTCTCTGTCCATGGTATGGAGTCTCCTTCCCCTGGAGAGCCACAACACCTAAACTGTCTAATCCAGTTCCCAGGGCACTTGGCAGCTGCCCCATGGACCACAGCACCACGGCACATCCCCTGCTCATGACACCCATGACCTCAGCCCCAAGAGCCCAGGGTATACAGCAGTGCTGCATGGAAGCCCTTGTGAACAAATGGGGCCTTGAACTAGAGCTGCGCCTTGAAGACAGGTAGGACTGGGGACCACAGACAGCTAGGAGGGAAGGGGCAGGTGAGCAGCCTGGGGTGATGAGAGGAATAAATGAATAGGTGGAGAAATGAAGGGCACAGTGGGGCATTCAACAGAAGGAGCGAGGAAGGAGAGGGTGGGGCAGCATCCAGGTAAGGAGCAGGAACTTCTTCTGAGGAGGGATTCTCCGAAAAGTTCAGAGCCCCAGATCCTGTGTGTGAGGATGTTTGGGGAAGATGATCCTACAGACTAGGCACCAGGGGCCTCAGTACGCTGCCACCATTCAGCTTGTGATGGAGAGAAGGCTCACCCAGGGGCCCCGAATGCCAGGTCAGTTCTGCCCCTCAAACCTGGCCTGCTCTATACGCTCTCCCCATGTGCCCCACAAGTCCCCTGGGCAGCATCTCTCCCCACCAGGGGCCCTGGTTTACACAGCTATATACGTGCCATGGGCCAGGCTGATTCTGGCCTAATCCCCACCAGCCCCAGGGAGATGTTTGCACGCTCAGGTATTTGCAGCCACTGCCTGTGGATTAAGGAAAGAATGGGAATTATTTTTCCAGTGGGCATACTTTCTCCAGGGCCTATCCCAGAAGAGTGGCCCGGCTCAGAATGTCCCGAGAGAGACCCTCCCTTGAGAGTGGGCTCCTCTAGCAGGCCAGCGGGAGGACCATCTTTACAATGGGCTCATCACTTTCTTATTATTCACGGGCTCTCTTGCCTCACCCCACTGGGGCCCTCGCCAGCCCCGAGTGATTTCAAGTGTGATTCAGGGCTTACTCTTTTTGAGGTGTGAGGCACTTTGATGTCTGAAAGGACGGGGCTGGAGGTGCCTAACCTCGTGGCACACTTGGCTTCATTCTCTGCCCCAAAGAGGTTTTTCTGGGGATGTCCCTGCCTGTGACAGAGAGCCTTGTGGCAGCAAAAGAGCCTTGAAGCCAGCCGGGGAGCAGGCCTGCACACAATCAACAACCCTGGATTTTCCAACAGAGGGACACAAGGGCAGCAGGCCATATATAAATAACGTAACAATCGAGAGATTAAGGCGGCGGCAGGCGGGGGGGAAGCTGCCCAGGGAGTTTATAAATGAATTCTCTCATTCAGGAGCCCCTTCCAAGTGAGTGACATTTTCCAGAGACAAAACTCACTTCCTTTGGACTCCTAAGCAACCAAAGGCTTGGGATGAGGGGGGCTGGAGGCTGCATTCCCTCAGCACAATCCAGGCCTCCTCCAGATCAGGACCACCCCACACGACCAGGGATGGATGGCTTTTCAGTGGTGAGGCTTAATCTGCAGGGCTTGTGAGTGACCTGCAGCTGGCCTGGACTGCCAAGTCAGGAGTGCTTGTTTACATAAATCAGTGTTTTGCTGCAGACAGTTACGGTCTTGTCTATGAGGGCAACACTCAGCATGATTGATACTTCGTCCCCTGCACCATGCTAGGCAGTGGAGACACAACCCTGAAGGGAGTGAGAAGAGTCTTGGACTGCTGGGACTTCCCAGGTTAACAGGGATGACAGAGAGTCTTCAAACAAATACACCGGTACTGCACTCAGTTGAATGCATCATGTGTTTTTGCTCACCATTGTTTTGTTTTGTTTTGTATCACTCAGAAAGACAAAAAGTGGACAAAGTCCGCTGGAATAATGCATTGCAATTTCAGAAATGTTCAAATGGAAAATTTGCGCCTTAAAAGTAATGAGATGTGCTACTTAAATGAAGAAGCAGTAGACGAAGGAAAGAAAATTTGAGTGGAGACTGACAAGGTAGGGAGGGGACCTCAAGAAGAGGGTCCTGCTTAGAATGACGAAGAAGGCAGGAAAAGCAGGGCCTGTGACAGGCAGATCATGTGCAAAGGCCCAGAGGGAGAGCTCAAGAGGAAATAAGTGTCTGAAGCCTAGTCCCTAAGGGGGCGGAGTGGGGGAATCAGGTGAGAGGGGAAAGCAGGGACAGGTCTGGGAGGGCCTTATGGAGCTCAGGGAGTTTGGGATTTTACTCTCTGTGTTAGTTTGCTTAGGCTGCCAAATAAATACCACAGAGTGGGAGGCTTAAACAGCATTAATGATTGGCTCCCAGTGGTGGAGCCCGGAAATATGTGATCAAGGTGCCATTCTGTTACTCCTTGCCTCCTCCTGGGCTTGTGGACACCGTCTTCCCCCTGTGTTGTTACATGGTCCTCCTCCAATGTGTGCCTGTGTCCTAATCTCCTCTTCCCATGATGATGCAGGTCATTTGGATTAAGGGCATCCTAGTGACCCCATTCTTTCTTTTTTTTAGGTACTGGGGATCAAACTTGGGACTTTGCGCTTGTGAGGCAGGCGGCAGAACCACTGAGATAAATCCCCGGCCCTTTCTAGTGACCCCATTCTGACTTAATCACCTCCTCAAATACCCTGTCTCCAAATATAGTCACATCTGGAAGTACTGAGGCCTTGGACTTCACATATGAAACTTAAGGGAACACAATTCGGCTCATAACATTCTCAGGACTAGAAAAGCACTAGCTTGAGTAAGTGGATGGACGGTAGCATTTGCTGGGCTGGGGATGATCAAGGAGGATGGGCTTTCTGGAGACCTCTGTCAAGCTCAGTTTCCCTCTGGGTGCCTTCAGGAAGACAGCAATAAACATGGCTTGCAGATCATAGGAGAAGCTCTGGGGACAGGAAGCACCCTGTCCTTTCCTGGTCCCTCAGCACCCTCACCAGCACAGCTTGGGAACTTGGCCTTCCAGCTGTGGTCTGCAGCACACTCCGACCCTCACTGGGGACTCTCGCCTTGAGCAAACTCTGGAGTGCAGGAAAGGAGGTAGAAGTTACTTGGGCAAGATTAGCCCAGGGGGGATCACATGTGCACAGGACACAGCCAGACTGAGGCAGGAGGCCAGTTTCATACAGCAAGGAGCATGTTTCTCTGGTCCAGAGTTTCCTGTTTGCCGCAGGCACATCCTGAGTGTAGGCCATCTGAGAAGCTCATCTATAGATAGGACATCCCATCCCTGATCACCTACACACTCATTGAGAGCCTTGGGACCTGGCTTCTGGCCAAAGGCTGCAGTGAGAAGCCTGGAGACAGGCTGTGAGCAAGAAGCAAACCTGGGGCCTCTCCTATGTCTGCAGCGGGATCAAGATCCAAGCTGCTCCAAATGCAAGCTCTTCCCTCAATGGAGCATGACACGCCAGACCACAGCAGGGATGCTAGCTCTGAGTCCACGTCTGGGTTGGGTGCTGAACCTGTCTAGGGCCCTAGATCCAATGTGTCTAACCATGCAGGGAACTAGGTACTCAGGGATGGAAGGGACAGCAGGTGATGTTAAAGAAGGGGAGCACTTTTTCTTGGCTTCCAGGCCCTTCCTTAGCCTTCAGGGGAAAGAGAGGCCAAGGCCCAGCCTTCAGTGGGCTTGTGAGAGGGAAAGTGGCATCAGAGCTTTTTCCTTAGCAAACATGGGCTGTGAGGCAGAGGACAGCATCCTCTTCCTGCAAGGAGACAACCAAGCCCAGGCCATAGCCAAGCCTAGGCCAGCAAAGGGGGCTATGGCTGCTCAGATCCAAGGACTCCAAGAGGGGAACATAGCTGTGGGGCCTCAAATTCTTCATCAGTCATTTTATTCCAGGGGAAGGATGACCTCCACTCATCTTCACATCAATTACCCTCCACTGACCGAAGGAAAATAGTTTATGTTTGATCAATACCTTGGACACAAGAATGAAATCAGGGCTCATGGGAAGCCTGGGAAGCCTACAAGCCAGGCCCAGGTTCCCTTTTTCAGCCCATGGAATTTCAGGCTGAAGGCTTTTGGAGCTCACCCAGGGCCTTATGGTCAAGAGACTTGGCGCTCCTCACCGGCCATGTGGCCACGTTCCTGGGTTCCCTTCTGATGCTGGCACAACATGGGCGAGGGAAGCAGCCCTCGCTTTCCCTAATCTTTGGAACCCACACACCTGCACTGCATGAACCATGGGTACTGTCCTGAGAGGGAATATGGGGATGGGGCTGCACCCCAAGGTCCAAGAGCAAGGGACAGCACATGTGGCCATGTGGGAAGGATGAGAAGAAAATACCAGACCCTTCTCATTCTCCAAATCCACTCACCCAGTGATCTCTAGTTGCCCAATCAGGTGAGTGTGTCCTGGCTCTGGAACACAGGGTGAATGAAGCCTCATCAAAGCCTTCCAACAATCTGTACATGGTTAGCCACCACAGAAAAAGCTCTCACTCTGCCACTCAGGACAATGCTTTCCATATAATCAATCACAAAACAGCAGACTCCCTGGACCAAAAGCGAGGCCCAGAGAAGGTTCTATGGCAGCTTAGACAGGCAGTCAGGGTCCATGCGTCCCCAACCAGCCTGCCTCAGCCCCTGCTCATGCTCCCCAGAGGTACAGCTACCATGTCCTACCCAGCTCTACTTGGAAGACTTGCCCTTCCTGAGACCCCAGCTGCACTGAGGAGGAGGCAGAGGGACCATGCCCACAAAACATACAAAGTCAGTCCCATCAGGAATTGAATTGTGTTCCCACGGAGAACATATAATCTCCCAGTCCTCTGAATGGGACCATATTTGGATATAAGGTTATTGCAGATGGGATTAGCTAAGCTGAGGTCATCCTGGAGTAGGGTGGGCCCTTCCTTCAGTCAGGTCCTCAGAAGACAAGGAGACACACAAAGAGAAAATGGCATGTGACAAAGGAGGCCAGAACTAGGGTGATGCACGAATAAGTCAAGGAACACCAAGATGCCAGAACATGCCAAAGGCCAGAAGAGATAAGTAAGAACGCTCTCTGTGGGATTCAGAGGAGCCTGGCCCCAGGTGACTCCAAGATCTCAGACTTCTAGCCTCTAGGATTGCAAGAGAATGGATTTCTGTTGTTTTAAGCGACTACATTGAAGGCCTAAGACCTCTAGTCCCTGCTCTGGGGTAAAAAGGCCCTCCTGAGCCAATACACACGCACACACACACACACACCCAGATACAGCCACTCTGACCCACAATCACACCATAAGTCCCTACAAGTCCTTTTTTGACCATCTTCCCCCAGGATCCTCTCATCAACAGGCTTCAGTCTGAATTACAAGTCTGTATTCGAAGGCAAGGAAGCCACCCTTCTCCCCATGGTTTGGGCTGAACCTGAGCTCCGGCCAGCTCTGGGAAGAGGAATCCAACCTTCCTTCCCCTGGAGGTCCCTCAGGGAGCCAGGCTCCTCGGGGTCTGGAGACTGTGACCCTGTGGGTACCTGGCACACACTGTAGTGCTCAAAGAGGGATAAGAAACCAATGTCACTTTGGGCCGAAATGCCTCGGAGGAGTGTGATGTTTCCATTCCCAGAATCCAGCTCCACCACATCGTTGAAAACATTGGATACAGCTCTCCCAGTCAGCAGCAGATTGACAAGTTCCTGTTGATGAGAGAAGGGGAAGGCCATGGCAAGTTTGACCCAGCTGCAAAAGGGTGGAGAGGACACTGGGAAGACAGAAAAGGGTGGGGACGGAAGAAGGCAAGGATGGAGGGAGGCAGAAGCCAGAGGCACTGAAACTTCGTTTTCCCACAAGCCCCAAGGGAAAGTTGCCAGCTTCTCTCATCAAAGCAATTGCAGGCACTCACTGGTCTTTATTCCACAAGCATTCATGGAGTAGCAACTGTATACAGGACCCTGTCCTAGGCCCCAGGTTATCACAAGGACCTTGGGGTGGGTGACACATGGCTCCATGCTCAGTTCCAGGGTAGGGGGGTCAGGTATGTGGCAGTGAGGCTGAAGTGCACTGTAGGATGTGTCTGGATCTCTAAAAATGTGCACAGAGACCATTCCAGGGTCTAGAGGGATGCAAAGTCACACATGACTAGGAGACAGTCGGACAGGCTTTGCGAAGTTCTGAGTCTTGAAGGGTGGTTTACTTTTTTAAAGTAGCTTTCAATTGCAAAATAACTTTATACTCAATAGAAGTTGTAAAAATAGTACAGAGAGTTCCTGTGTACTCTTCACCCAGCTTTTCAAAAAAATAACATCTCACAGGACCAGAATACGTGCTCAAAACCAGGAAACAGTCATGCTCAGCACCAGCCGCACTCCAGGCTTCTCTCAGTTCTTACCGGGGACAACAGTGGGCTTTAACGGAGGAAGGAGCCTGGAGAAATGTACTGTGGGGAATGGAGGGCAGGAAGAGCAGAACAGAGAGGGGACAGAAAGTCCACTTCTTCTTGCCATGGAAGTAGGCATTTGGGACCCCACGGCTCATGCATGCCACACTCCCGACAATGCAACAAGAAAGCGACCTTGCAACCTGGAGCTGGTGCCGCATGGAGCTCAGCACTTCTCTGGCAGCTCCTTCACCTGTGACACTTCTATGAGAGGAACATCTATGTCAGGGGCCTTCCTTATGCTGGGCAGCCCTGGTCCAGCCTCCTGTTAGGACTGGAGAAATCAAGCCTGCAGATGAGAAAGGACTTCCCTGGCTACACAGCCACTGAGGATCAGAGCTGAACCTCCACTCACATCTTCTGGCTCCAGACATCTTTCTGGGTTTCCTTCCTAATTCTCATTCCCTTCTTACATTCACAGCAGCCTCTGGTTGGACACAGATTCAAGATGAAGCATGGTGGCCTCTGAAGGTCTGCTGCCCCACTGGGGAAGGATTCCTGTGAGCCTAGCCCTAGCACTCAGATAGCAGGTTCCTCTGTGTCATCCACCTCACCAGAGACTGGTACTGCCTGTGAAATAAGCCCATGGGAATGGCCAAAGCTGCCCTTTCCCCAGCATACGCTTGGAGGGCAGAGTTGATGGAAGAGTCTTCCTTTGAACTGTGAAAACAATGTCCAGGGTCAATAAATTCTTCTGTTAACACCAATACCCCTGCCCCAGTGACAATAAAAGAGGCCTCTGATGATGGCCGACAAAGGGCCCCCATTAGAGGGGGTCACTGTGTCTTTGCAGAGGAAATGAGAGAAAAGTTTGGAGGAAATAGCTGCTCTAAGATACGGCACCTCAGGGGCAGTGGAACTAAAAACGGTATAGCCTTTTCAAAGGGGGCTTGAGTTTTTCCATTTGGTTTTTTAAATGAAAAAAGCCCTATTCCTCCATCTGGGTGCATCTAGGACCTTCCTCCTTGCAGGAGACCTTCTTGAGATAGGGAAAAGAGGCACCAGGCATCTCTCCCTCTTAGATGCAAAATTACACATCAGCAAACTTAGCCATCACCTAGGCCCTTGCTTGTGTGGTCCTTGGACCGGCAATGTTGACCTTCTAGAATGGCCTGTTAGAAATTCAGGATCTCAGCCCCTAGCCCAGAACCCCCGAATCTGAACCTATTCAAATGGAATTGTGTGCACAACACACCAAAGCATAAGCAGCTCTGGTCCAGAACAAATCCTTCTTCTACAAATGAGGAAAAGCCCAGGGAGGGGAAGAAGATGGCCCAGCTCCTTCTCTGAGTGCAACAGAGAGCAAGTCTTAAATCCAGTCCCCTCCCCCCCAGAAAAAAAAAGAAAAATCCAGTCCCACTCTCTGGCCTGATGTCCTCTTCCCCTCACTTGATGGTCACTCATCCCTGAGAACATAATGCCCTGTCCTCTACAAAGGGAAGCTTCCCTGGGGCAGAAAGTTTCTCAGAGTGAGATCATGGCCACCTCAGGCAGCAAGAAGAGTGATGGCTCGCTCAACTCTCTCCCAGGAAGGTGAGAAGCAGCCAAGGCTTCATTCCTTTGTGGGTGTCCCACAAGCCACAGGTCTGGAGCTTGCTTCTGCATAGGACTTGGTGGGTCTCCAGAGCTGGGCACATGTGAGCCAAGACCCTAGGACACCTGGGTCCTTAACTGGTCCAGAAGACTGAGTTTGGTTGCCTGTCTGTACCGAGGGTCAGATTTCACTGTGGTCCACCTGGCTGCTCTGGGAGGCCTTCCCATGCCGGAAAAGGACTGGATAGAAGTCAAGGCTGGGATTTTCCCCCAGGTCTCAATGATGATGGACAAGCAACTATGCTCAGGGTCTCTTGAGCCCCTTGATGAGGGGGGTCCCTTTGTAAAGATGCAGAAGGGACAGTGGTTGTAAAGACAATGCTCCATGCCAACATAAAGACTGTGGTGACCAATGTTCCCAATTGGACCCAGGGTTCCCAGATGCTACCACACCCCCTGCAGTCAGGACTCCAGATGGTGCAGAGCTTGGATCTGCATTCCACCTATTCTGCATCCTGCATCCCATATGGCTCCAAGCACAGAGATCGGCATTTGGCAAGTACTCCAGAAACAGAGGATAAACTCTGCCATCTTTCTAGTGCTCCTTGACAGCAAAGCCCAGTAGGGTGGACATGGAAAGATGCCTAGAGAGGTTGTTGGAGGACAGGGAGAGAGGAGGGACAGAGGAAAAGAAGAACAGCCTGGCTGCCCCACAGCACCCCAACCTGTGTGCAGTATCCATGTGCTCCAATCAGGTGACTGGTGGGGACGTCGAAGTCTTGGCGGACACTGGCAAACACAAAAAGAAGTAGCATTAGTAAGCCTCTGCCTGACCTTAGCCACCTGGGCAAACCTTGCCAATGACCAAGGGCTTCCCTCAGGATTCCCTATTTGGTGGGACCTTGATGCTTCAGTGTTCTATGCTTTCTGAGGAGGAGGCTCCGACCCCCAAAGGAATAGGGACTGGAGCCCTGGCCTGCTCAAGTTAAAAGCACTGCATTCTCTGGGCAATAGCCTCCACTCTGGCCTCCCTGGCCTCTGGCCACACCAGATACGGTGAGTGGAGGGACACATGGCACAACAGAAAGGCCCTTGGGCTGGAAATCCAGTGTCCTGAACTCACATCCCACCTGCTGCTATTAATGGTGAGGGCAGGTCATCCTCTCCCGTCTCTGGACCCCAGTCCACTGGTCTTTTGAATGGGAAGAATGCACTTTAATGTCTGCTACGGTTTGACCGAATCTTGGAAGGGTTCAAGTGTTGAAATTTAATCCCCATCATGAAGTGGTAAGATGTCTGTGAAGTGGTAAGAATCTGACTATGGTATTTGGAGAAGGGACCTTCAGGAGGTGACGGGTTAAGTACGATCATCATAGTGCCTCTATAAAAAGAGATCAAGACCAGAAGAGTCACGCATGTGCCCCTAGGGTCTTGCCATATGATACCTTGCATCTCCTCAGGACCCTGCCAGCAAGAAGGCCATCACTAGATGTGGGCCTTCAACTTTGGACCTCTAGAATCATGGGCCAAAATAAACTCTTTTTGTCACAACTTACTGACAACAGAAAATGGACTAATACAGCATCCTTGACTTCTAAAAACGTAGCCAATGCCCCCTGATCACAGTGTCTGTTCCAGGTACCATACATGCATCACACCTTAAGACCTGGGATGAAACTGAGGCTCAGAGAAGGGGCTGTCTGCCCAAGGGCACTCAGGGCTGGTAAGAGATCCTACCCACCAGCTTCCAAGCCTGGCCCACCTTCTCCTACCCATCTATCCTGCCACTGAGTCACCACCCTCGAAATGGGGGCCTCAAATGGCACAAGATGAAAAGCCTCTTTACCAAAAGAAATTCCTCAAATTCAAAGAAATAGGCTTTAGGGCTGTGCAGTGCTAGGGACAGAACATTTCGGAGTCCCAGATAATGGGGACCCTGTCACCTGGGAGGGGTGGGGAGATGAACACTAGGTGCAACAAGGCCTCCCTGAGCCTGAAAACCCTCCTCAGCTAGATAATCCACCATCAGGACACTGTTCCTGTCAGCTACCCCAAAGTCAATCCCACCAGGAAACTAAAGTCTTCTTGCATGCAGAGCCATATAACCAGCAAGCAGCAAAGATGCTACTATCTACTGACTGAGCACAGCAAACAATTTCAATCCTCCAGGCCCAGGGAATTGGGAATTACTATCTTTGTGTTATACATGTGGAAAGAAGCTCAGAGGAGTGGCCGCTGGGGTCTGGGTTAAGCATGCCCTGGGGGCTGCCACTCACCTAGCACTGTGCCCAGGGCCTGGTCTGCTTCCTTCACCACCCCTAAAGTGTGCACTGCACAGCACCCAGGACTAGGAAGGGTTTAGCAATCAGAACACTCACATTTCCTTTTGGTGCAAGAGAAGGGGAACTTGGTCTCAATTTACCCATTAAATCAAAGACCTGCTGTAAACTCACAAAGCCAAAAACACTTGCCCTGGTCTTGTATCCTTCCCAGACCAGTTTAAGAATTCAAGCCCTGTCATACATGTAAGGAAAATGCTTTCCTGTGGTTTTTAAAACCAAACAGGGAAGGTTAATGGTCCACCTGAGATGGGATGGGAGGACCATCTCTGGGGCCTGCAGAGAGCCACAAAGGCTTAGGGTCCTCTGGGAAGGCCTGCAGGATTCATCCCTAGACAGCCCAGCAGGCCTGGGAAGGAGCCAGTGGGGGTGACTCACAGAAGAGCACAGCACTTGGCTGGCACTTGCTCAGGCAGAAGAATTGATGGAAATGTTCTTCACAGCACATATAAGCATCTTCTGATGAGAAGAAAATAACCTCAAAGCAGTCTTGAGTGGACTGATAAGGATCACTGGCCACGAGCCACCCAAAGATTTCAGAAGCAGCCTGATCTTCATAAGCTCGTAGCCGCGTGTTCACCCCATGGGCTTGGGAGCCTGCGTCAGCCGTGAGCAGAGGGACAAGCAGACAGGACAATGGGAGGAAATGGTAATTGCATCCTTAGGTGCAAACATGATGGGAAATTTAGAAGCATGCTTGGATCTTAAAAGGGATGACCATCTGTATTTCACATTAGCGCACTTGGGAGACGACAAGGAGCAGCTTATGGCTTAAGAGATTTACAACTTTGGCAAGTTGAGATCCCCAGACCTCCCCACCAGGGGAGGTCCCTTGGGGCTGGCTGTGAGTCCTTGGGCAGAGAAACACTCACAGCCTCTGCTCTGCTCTGCCCAGAGAAAGTCGGTTTACTCAGGTTGGCCTAGAACCCAACTAGAGCCTCACTCTGCTGTGGGACTGCAAAACCCCCTTCCGTGGGCCTCAGTCTCCCTTCTGGAACATGAGGGTCTTGGGCAAGATGAGAGGTGTTTGGGCTGGATTATGTCTCTCAATTTATATTAGGTTAAAATGGGCTGTTAGGGAGGGTCCCAATCTAACCAGACTGGTGTCCTTATAAGTGGAGGAAATTTGGGCACACAAATGGACACTAGGGATGTGCACATACAGAGGAAAGGCCACGTGAGGACACAGCAAGAAGCAATCTGTAAGCCCAGGAGAGCAACCTTGGTGCTTTGATCTTGGCTCTCCGGCCTCCAGAGCTGTGAGAAGTGTCTGTGTCAAGCTGCCCACTCTGTGGCCCTTTACTGTGACCAACCTAGGAATCTGGAACGAGCAACTTCCAACATTGTTTTAGACTCAGAGCCCTTCTTTAAAGGAAGCCTTGTATGTGGAACTTATCTGCTTCATGAAGCCCAGCTGCTCCAGCTGTGGGTAGCCACTGGATCTGCCCCATCTTTGTCTCCCTCCACCAGCCTTTGTGGCCTCTCAGGGAGCCCTGGGCTCCCAGAGCACAGAGTATCCTTGGAGCAGAGGTTGAAGCTGGGGAAGGGGCTCCCGAACTCTGGGTTTCTGAGTCACAGCCACGACAGCCCCTTCCCAAGGACCAAATTACCCATCCAATCTAGTAGGAAGGTTGTCCTTTCCACAGTTCTCCTGGGGGCTGGGGAGCCCTGGGCACAGCTGAGGGACATAGCACCAAGCTGGATGAAGGAGTCAGGAGGCCTAGGCCCACCTAAAACAGGTCCCTGCAAGGCATCCTGCACTGGGGAACCCACAGGGGAGCAGAGCTTGCCTGGACTTTGAATCCAAGAAGCAGAGAGTTAGAGAAGCCTGAGTGAACTTGACCAGGGCATGGAAACGAACAAGGAGGCCTGGCCCAGCTGCCCTGCTGTCTATCTCCTCAGCATCTGGGAGCCAAAGACCAGCATCCTGGACCAAATATTCAAGGGTGAGTTAGGCATAGGGGGCAGTCCTGGGCCATCCAATGGTACGAACTCTCAACTCTGCCCACCATTAAGAGGCTGTTGAGCCACCAAGCTATACCAAGAAATAGAACAAAGAGGCCCTTAGGGCTCAGTGTTCTGCAAATGGGAAGACAAATGTCCAGAGAGACAAGATAGGCAAACACCAAGATCTATCAGGGCTGGAAGCTGGGTCCAGAACTCTGCTGTTGTTCTCCCTTTGGCATACATCTGTGAACAGGCAGGCATTCTCCTAGGTGTGGGCTGATGACCCAAAAACCTCAAGTCTGCACAGTCTCAGATACTTTGGAATGCATTGGTCCCTCAAAAGCCTTGCTAGGCCAGAAGGGCAAAACACCCATCTCTGCTTTACTGAGAAGAAGGGACCTTGTGGTTCTGAGGTCACACAACCGACGGGGGCAAGGCTGTGTCCTCACCACCGACATCACACAGTGTCAAACATCACCCTAGCCACCCAGCTCCAGGGGGCCACACTCAGGGTCTACTGTTCAGGGCTCTGGCCAGCTTGTCCCTTCATGTAAAAGCCTCCCTGTGTGAACGTATTATGTGGCACAGAAGTTTCTGAATAAGAAGGAAAATATGTCCACGTGGCCTAAAGACATGGCCCTAATTTATAATCAGCCATTCACCTGACCCTGGGACACGTCAGAGGCCATCTCAGCCTAGGACTAGCCACGTGACCTCAGGTAAGTCCCTACCTCTCTCTCAGGTGAGTCCTTATTTGCAACAACCATGGCCTGGGGCCAGGGATCGCTAGGGAACTTCCTGAAGGTGAACTTGTGACCCTGGTCCCTGATCTAATCTGAAATGTCAAGCCTCAGATGGCCAGAAGCACCCCAACAGCCCACAGCTGGGACACCATGTGTGTCCCCAGGGCCAGCTCCTGCCTGGCCCTCTCTGAGGCTCCTGGACCACACTCCCCAGCCTCCTGCAGGTGGTGGGGTTTTTCCTGGTGTTAAGGACAACTCAGAAATGGAAAGTGCAGCTGTGATATAGCTAAGAAAACCGCTCCAAAGCTGGGGAGCCCTGGGTCTCAACCCAACTGCTGCCACTCGCGAGTTGGCCCCTGCCTAACATCGGTTTCCCCACTTGTAATATGGGTGCAATGACATCTCCTCAAGCACAGGTTACTGTGAGAACTGAGCGAGATGAGCTATATAAAGCATCTGGCATTCAATAAATGTCACTTCCTTTTTCCTACGATAACAATAATAAAAACAAGAAAACAATGACCAAGAGGTCATGATTCCTGGAGCCTCAACCATTCGTCTTATAGCCAAGAGCCCAGAATAAAACCAGGCCCCCCAAGAGGTTGAGATGTAGCTCTGGGTATCTACAAAGGATCTGGACAGAACGGATACTGCCTGTTTTCCCAGAGAGGCCGAGTGGGAGGGAGAGGAATCAGCAGCCCTGGGTGTCAGACCCCGTTTGCCTCCTGTCCTGGTTGCCTTTGGCAAAGTGCTTTCCATC